CCAAATTAGATCTCAGGAGTGCGTACAACCTGGTGCGTGTTCGAGAGGGGGATGAGTGGAAGACAGCATTCAGCACAACCACGGGGCATTATGAATACCTGGTGATGCCTTACGGTTTGATGAATGCTCCATCTGTCTTCCAGTCCTTTGTGAACGAGGTGTTTCGGGACATGCTTGGTCGCGGTGTAGTGGTCTACATCGATGTCATTCTGGTGTATACCGCTACACGCGCCGAGCATGTGTCCCTGGTTCGCAAAGTGCTGGCCCAACTGTTGGAAAATGACCTTTATGCCAAACTGAGGGGTCTGTTCACCTGCTGGTAACTGTGTACTACGGAATAAACTCTGTATTCTGTGATTTACCCTCCTGCGCCTGACTCCTTCAAATCACACTCTCACAATTATAAGTGAAATAATCTGTCTGTAAACAATTGTTGGAAAATTTACTTGTGTCATGCAAAGTAAATGTCCTAACCGACTTGTCAAAACTATAGTTTGTTAACAAGAAATTTGTGGAGTGGTTGAAAAACGAGTTTTAATGACTCCAACCTAAGTGTATGTAAACTTCCAACTTCAACTGTATGTGCTCTATCCTGGCTCTAGGGTTTAGACAGTAAGACAGGTTGTTGAGGATGCTGTGTGGATAGTAGTTCTAGTTTGAGTGTACGAGAACTACCAACTAGTTCCTGTTTCGTGAGAACAGTGAGTTATTTCTATGGACCCTTCAAAAGCCTGAGTATAGTTTGAGGATGATGAGGTTTACCTCCCTTCTCTCCGGATGAAGCCTCACAATAAATCTAAATTAACTAGCAGCTCTCTGAGGGTTACTCCGGGGCCGTGGCCAGCTCATTCACATTAATTAACAACCATGTAGGAAGCTCATATGAGAGAGAGAGAGAGAGAGTAACACACAGAGAGAGAGAGAGGAATAGAGGGGAAGTGCAGAGTACCTCCAACTGATTTACAGGTCTTATCAGAAGTGTGATGGGAAGGGAGGTGGAGGTAAATCTGGCGAGAGCCCTGCCTGGAGCCCTGCCATGACCTGTCCTTCAAAGGTCCAGACTGAGCCACCCTTTCCCACACACTACACTCGGCTGGTCCTTCTTATCTACACCAAGCCCATCTCTCTCTCTCTCTCTCTCTCTCTCTCTCTCTCTCTCTCTCTCTCTCTCGCTCTCTCGCTCTCGCTCTCGCTCTCGCTCTCGCTCTCACTCTCTCTCTCTCGCTCTCTCTCATCCACTCTCTCTCTCATCCACTCTCTCTCTCTCAGTTTCTCTTTAAACTTTTACAGACAATGATCCTTGAAAGGGTGGCTTTGCTCACCTGGAAAGCATTGAGAGCGATGAAGACATATGCCACCACCATGGATAGGTGCACCAGGACTCCACAAAGCCAGGTAAGACCCAGCACCGGCAGTAGAATAAGGGTTGGTCGCGTCACAGCCCTGCAGAAGTCCGACTGTCAGTACAGTACACACACCCACCCACTCACGCATCGACCCCCAAACACACTCTCCGGGCAGGACTCAGCTGATGCTGATTAGAAGTCCATTATAGGGTCTAGCTATTGTCACGTATACACACACACACACGGAAACCCTGCATAGCTGCACAAAATGTAATTATTTGACAACCACAGCTATACTTGATGCGAGTGTATTCAATTGAAATTAGTAAAAAATATGTAAAAAATAAACATTATTACATTATTATTATGCATGCTCTGTGTCTTTGATTTATTGTCGTCCTGCTGAACCTGGGCCAGGAGATTGAGTTCACGTTGAACTATGTCTACAAGGACAAAGTGAGTTCACGTTGAACTGACTACAAGGACAAAGTAAGTTCACGTTGAACTATGTCGACAAGGACAAAGAGAGTCTACGTTGAACTATGTCTACAAGGACAAAGTGAGTCTACGTTGAACTATGTCTACAAGGACAAAGTGAGTCTACGTTGAACTATGTCTACAAGGACAAAGTGAATTCACGTTGAACTATGTCTACAAGGACAAAGTGAGTCTACGTTGAACTATGTCTACAAGGACAAAGTAAGTCTACATTGAACTATGTCTACAAGGACAAAGTGAGTTCACGTTGAACTATGTCTACAAGGACAAAGTGAGTTCACGTTGAACTATGTCTACAAGGACAAAGTGAGTCTACGTTGAACTATGTCTACAAGGACAAAGTGAGTTCACGTTGAACTACGTTTACAAGGACAAAGTGAGTTCACGTTGAACTACGTCTACATGGACAAAGTGAGTTCACGTTGAACTACGTCTACAAGGACAAAGTGAGTTCACGTTGAACTACATCTACAAGGACAAAGTGATTTCACGTTGAACTATGTCTACAAGGACAAAGTGAGTTCACATTGAACTATGTCTACAAGGACAAAGTGAGTTCACGTTGAACTATGTCTACAAGGACAAAGTGAGTTCACGTTGAAGTATGTCTACAAGGACAACGTGAGTTCACGTTGAAGTATGTCTACAAGGACAAAGTGAGTTCACGTTGAACTATGTCTACAAGGACAACGTGAGTCTACGTTGAACTATGTCTACAAGGACAAAGTGAATCTACGTTGAACTATGTCTACAAGGACAAAGTGAGTCTACGTTGAACTATGTCTACAAGGACAAAGTGGGTCTACGTTGAACTATGTCTACAAGGACAAAGTGAGTTCACGTTGAACTATGTCTACAAGGACAAAGTGAGTTCACGTTGAAGTATGTCTACAAGGACAAAGTGAGTCTACGTTGAACTATGTCTACAAGGACAAAGTGAGTCTACATTGAACTATGTCTACAAGGACAAAGTGAGTTCACGTTGAACTATGTCTACAAGGACAAAGTGAGTCTACGTTGAACTATGTCTACAAGGACAAAGTGAGTTCACGTTGAACTATGTCTACAAGGACAAAGTGAGTTCACGTTGAACTATGTCTACAAGGACAAAGTGAGTCTACGTTGAACTATGTCTACAAGGACAAAGTGAGTCTACGTTGAACTATGTCTACAAGGACAAAGTGAGTTCACGTTGAACTATGTCTACAAGGACATTGTGAGTTCACGTTGAACTATGTCTACAAGGACAAAGTGAGTTCACGTTGAACTATGTCTACAAGGACAAAGTGAGATCACGTTGAAGTATGTCTACAAGGACAAAGTGAGTTCACGTTGAAGTATGTCTACAAGGACAAAGTGAGTTCACGTTGAACTATGTCTACAAGGACAAAGTGATCGATGTTGAATTATGTCTACAAGTACAAAGTGAGTTCACGTTGAACTATCTCTACAAGGACAATGTGAGTTCACGTTGAACTATGTCTACAAGGACAAAGTGAGTTCACGTTGAAGTATGTCTACAAGGACAAAGTGAGTTCACGTTGAACTATGTCTACAAGGACAAAGTGATTTCACGTTGAACTATGTCTACAAGGACAAACTGAGTTCACTTTGAACTATGTCTACAAGGACAAAGTGAGTTCACGTTGAACTATGTGTACAAGGAAAGGTGAGTTCACGTTGATCTATGTCTACAAGGACAAAGTGAGTTCACGTTGAACTATGTCTACAAGGACAAAGTGAGTTCACGTTGAAGTATGTCTACAAGGACAAAGTGAGTTCACGTTGAAGTATGTCTACAAGGACAAAGTGAGTTCACGTTGAAGTATGTCCACAAGGACAAAGTGAGTTAACGTTGAAGTATGTCTACAAGGACAAAGTGAGTTCACGTTGAACTATGTCTACAAGGACAAAGTGAGTCTACGTTGAACTATGTCTACAAGGACAAAGTGAGTCTACGTTGAACTATTTCTACAAGGACAAAGTGAGTTCACGTTGAGCAACGTCTACAAGAACAAAGTGAATTCACGTTGAACTATGTCTACAAGGACAAAGTGAGTCTACGTTGAACTAGGTCCACAAGGACAAAGTAAGTCTACATTGAACTATGTCTACAAGGACAAAGTGAGTTCACGTTGAACTATGTCTACAAGGACAAAGTGAGTCTACGTTGAACTATGTCTACAAGGACAAAGTGAGTCTACGTTGAACTATGTCTACAAGGACAAAGTAAGTTCACGTTTAACTATGTCTACAAGGACAAAGTGAGTTCACATTGAACTATGTCTACAATGATAAAGTGATTTCACGTTGAACCATGTCTACAAGGACAAAGTGAGTTCACGTTGAACTATGTCTACAAGGACAAAGTGAGTCTACGTTGAACTATGTCTACAAGGACAAAGTGAGTCTACGTTGAACTATGTCTACAAGGACAAAGTGAGTCTACGTTGAACTATGTCTACAAGGACAAAGTGAGTTCACGTTGAACTATGTCTACAAGGACATTGTGAGTTCACGTTGAACTATGTCTACAAGGACAAAGTGAGTTCACGTTGAACTATGTCTACAAGGACAAAATGAGTTCACGTTGAACTATGTCTACAAGGACAAAATGAGTTCACATTGAACTATGTCTACAAAGACAAAGTGAGTTGACGTTGAACTATGTCTACAAGGACAAAGTGAGTTCACGTTGAACTATGTCTACAAGGACAATTTGAGTTCACGTTGAACTATGTCTACAAGGACAAAGTGAGTCTACGTTGAACTCTGTCGACAAGGACAAAGAGAGTTCACGTTTAACTATGTCTACAAGGACAAAGTGAGTTCACATTTAACTATGTCTACAAGGACAATGTGAGTTCACGTTGAACTATGTCTACAAGGACAAAGTGAGTTCACGTTGAACTATGTCTACAAAGACAAAGTGACTTGACGTTTAACTATGTCTACAAGGACAAAGTGAGTTCACGTTGAACTATGTCTACAAGGACAAAGTGAGTTCACGTTGAACTATGTCTACAAGGAGAAATTGACCAGTTCCTCTTCTTCCTTTGCTTTTCTTTTCAATTTAGTCTTCCTTCCAAACTTGTGACATCTCATCATATTCTTACAGGGAACAGATAGACTGCGGAGGGGGCAGAGATGACTTGCTTACTCCTTCACTCTCTTTACAAGGAAAGGAAGAGGTGATGACTGAAAATTATAATCTCATATGAAATACTGTCTTGGTTTTTATAAATGTGTGCACAATATAATTGTTTTATTTGTCTTGTCTCTACATGTAGGCAGCTACAGTATATATAAGTATAGCATGTTTAGACCCTGTCCATATTGGGACAGGACTGAACCCTATGGTCCCTGTTTTTTTTGGTCCACCAGACAACGAGCTCAGTGAAAAGCACACAGACCAACACACACCCACACAGTCTGCCTCTCTGTCTCTTTGTCTCCCTAGGACCAGGTGTTAGGTTGATAAGACCTATAACAACTCCCACTACTTCAGACTCAAACTACCTCATTCTCACACAGTTACAGTCTCTCTGTTCAGTTCAGTTAGGTTTGGCTGAGTGGATCTGTCACTTGTTGATTTGAAAACCACCCATTCCACAGATTGTGCTTGAAAGGAAAATTCCTCTGACAGCTTTCTATGTCTCATTATATCGCACATATAAAACATGGATGTTGGATGTTGGGTCGAGTCACAGAATCAAAATACAATGTATGTGTCCTAGGTTGCATGTGCGTGAGAGAGCAGGAGAATCAGGGAAAGAGAGGACGAGAGACTGGATGAGAGAGAATGAGAGAGAGAGAGAGAGAGAGAAGAGAGATAGAGAGAGAGAGAGTCTAGCGAGCTGAGTTATCTGCGAGAGATCTATCATAGCGCTGCTTGTATCTCTGATTTTCTCTCTCAGAGCTCTGCGCGCGCCCTCGTCTGTTCTTCTCGTCTCTCTTTGTCTGATCGCGCATATCCTCTTCGATCGCGCGCTCGCGCAGCTCCCGCGCTAGCTCGCTCCGCTCTCGCTCTCCGCGCTCTCTCTCTCTCTCTCTCGAGCGTCTCCTCTCTCTCTGCGCTCTATAGTGTGGTGACTCACCAGGTCAGGTCGAAGGTATGGAGTTTAGATGCTGAACTGGGAGTGAGCATCTTTGCTCGACGACGAGCGCTGGACACTGTCACTATGACTACCCGGCAAAGCACCACTGCATTGACCTAGGAGTACACAAAGTCTTAGAACAACTGATGGACATGCCATATTGTTGCTGCATGACACATGTATGACACATTAATAATCATCACATGCGAGCACACACACATGCAAATGCACACACACACACACACACACAAAAGTAAAGTGAAGTAACACAAGTAAAGCGAAGCTACATACAGCCAAGATAAATAGAACAGGTCCCACAAAAGCCCAAATCATATCAGTCTCCACATTGAGCCAGCAGTGATTGTCTGCCTTGTACTTGTCCAGGGATATTGTCAAGGTTACACCAACAATCACAACAGGCAGACCTGTAAAAAGAAAGCAACAATATTATTTTAAAAGGGAATATAACACAAGAATGTCTTTAAAGAAGAGAGTTGACATTGCTGTGGTACAGGCACTGCACTAGGCACTGACTGTCCATTCACCAGCCATTCTATTTAGTCTGAAAAAAGTGAACACCTCAGACAGCTGGCCAATATATGGCCATCTTATAACACATCATCATGAGTGTGTTTAGCTATTTGAATAAACACACTCTTCCAATATGGTCAGTAGGAACACAGCCTTTAGCCTGATGAAAAAAAACAAAAAACTAAACAAACAAAAAAACAGAGCGTCAGCTAAATGACTAAAAATGTAATGTAAATGTAGATGAGCTGTGTTCCAGACAGCACTGTGCACAAACTGGGCTTGTATGTACTGTAGGATATAGGCCAGGGTCTTGTGTGACTGGATGAGTACTGTGTGGGGACATTGTGTTATTTCTGTAGGGTGTTTTACCCCAGCCTATGGAGTAGTACATCTTCATCCTGCGGTCCTCGCTGATGTTGACAGACACCACCTTACTCCACAGTAGCAGCCCCTCCACCAGCATCCAGGAGAAGGAGGCCATGAAGAAAAAGTGCAGCAAGGCCGTCACCACCAGACACGCCCCCTAGTGGACAGGAGGTACAGAGCATTGACATACTTGTCCACCACTTAAGTAACACACATAGTACTGTAGTCTAGAGAAGAGAATGGAGTCATATCATACATTCAACGACCGAAACAGATAAAAGCCTACAGGCACATGAATCTCTGACCCTATGCCCTCCTTTACTTCATAGTACCCATAACCATATAGAGAATGAGATGTTTGAAGACAGACAGAGCTACTGTATGTAAAGAGTCCCACCTTGTTAGCAGAGGCCCAGTCACTGCACATAAGCAGCAGCTCAGCTATCCCCAGAGCCACGATCAGGTTCTTATGGACAGTGGTGCGGTCAGACTTAGGAACTCTGCACCCACACCACACCAGGCCAGACAGGGGAGAGGGGAGAGGGGAGAGGGGAGAATGGAGATAGACACAGAGAGATGATCAAGGTCAGACCAACATACAGCTAGTCTGTGAGTCAGTCATCATACATAAATACTAAACACAGCAGCAATGGGTCTGCTCAGCATGGTAAAGAAGACAATGTACAGACAGAAATAATCATTCAAACTAACACGTGTCTTGTACTCTCCACATGCTAGTAGATTCTTCGCTGAAGCAGAGCACCACTCACCCCACAGCGATGAAGCAGAGCACCACTCACCCCACAGTGATGAAGCAGAGCACCACTCACCACACAGTGATAAAGCAGAGCACCACTCACCCCACAGCTATGAAGCAGAGCACCACTCACCCCACAGCGATGAAGCAGAGCACCACTCACCCCACAGCGATGAAGCAGAGCACCACTCACCCCACAGCGATGAAGCAGAGCACCACTCACCCCACAGCGATGAAGAGGATGAAGGTGAAGAGTAGGCCACACAGAGACACGCCACAGCCGATGAACGTCATCACCTGGAGGGCTCTTTCATTCTCTGGACTCCTCTGACACACACACACACACACACATAGATATTTATCTGAAACTATAGTGACTATAAGTGTCTATTCTCTATTGAGTGCACTATTTCACAATGAGGATGGGAGGAATTGTGGAGGATAGAATGGACCTTTACCTGGACTTCATAGACTTGCATCAGCAGGGCAAAGTTGGTGGTGTGGTTGCAGAAGCAGACAGTGGAGCCGTACTGTTTAGAGACGACCTCACATCCTCTAGTAGACCACCACCCCCCAGCCTCTGGCCTAGAGGGGGACAACAGTTTACACTTTCATAACAATGTACGGTAACCATTACACTAATAAATCGAACACTGATTTCTATTGATGTAATGGTAGAACATTTGCTGTCATTATACTCACATCAGATCAAAGTCCCAGAATGCACAGACGGGGTCATACACGGTCCCTGCAGGATTCTAAAGGAATCAATGGAACGGGACATAATTTCACACTTATAGTAAAGGACAAACTTGTGGAGTAGAACAAGGGGCATATATCATATTCTCTGTGAACGAGGAAGAGGAATATAGTATATTTAAGCAATAAGGCACGAGGGGGTGTGGTAAATGGCCAATATACCACGGTTAAAGGCTGTTCTTATGCACGACGCATCGCAGAGTGCCTGGACACAGCCCTTAGCCGTGGTATATTGGCCATATAACACAACCCCCCGAGGTGCCTTATTGCTATTCTAAAGTGGTTACCAACGTAATTAGAGCAGTAAAAATAAATGTTTATGTCATACCCGTGGTATACAATCTGATATACCACGGCTGTCAGCCAATCAGCATTCAGGGCTCAAACCAGCCAGTTTATAAAGAGGAATAGAGTCCATGTGAGTGTGAGACTGAGGTCCTAACCTGAGCTCTGTGTTGGAGCTGGAAGCGTACAGCCATACTGACAGGCTGTCCGTCCCCCAGGACTGTAGTAGAGATGACAGAAGAGCCCAGGATGGTGCCCAGGTACCTGACACACATAGCACAGCACAGGCCAAATGGGGACAGTCACACATCAGGCTGGATATCAACACTGGATCATGCTCAGTAGGCACTAATGGAAAAATAGTCTTAATGGAAAATGAAATATAATTCTTTTTTTTTAGGGGGTAGATCAGCTTAATATTGCAGATAGATTGTAACTTCCATTAATGTAATTGTCTGCATCACTTCTAATCCCCCATGTTTTTATATATATATATATATATATATATATATATATATATATATATATATATATATATATATATATATATATATATATATCTCTCTATATATACATACATATACATATACACATACACATATTTACACACATACATATATACACACATACACACATACACATACACATATACATACATATACATACATACATACATACATCCTTTTAAAAATATATATATTCCCCTTTATTACTTTCCAACCCCACCACCCTTTCCCTAATTGGAGTAAACTAGTGAACAGCAATGCTTAGTCCTCTACTTCCAGCTTATACTTACTATATACATTTTATGGACACAGTCAATTTGACAATAATTATATTTTGTTTGTTTTTTCTCCTGAACTTCTTCTACTCTCAACCTCTCCAATCATTTTCATGATGTCCATCCGGTTTGCTTCTACAGTGGGGAAAAAAAGTATTTAGTCAGCCACCAATTGTGCAAGTTCTCCCACTTAAAAAGATGAGAGAGGCCTGTAATTTTCATCATAGGTACACGTCAACTATGACAGAAAAAATGAGAAAACAAATCCAGAAAATCACATTGTAGGATTTTTTATGAATTTATTTGCAAATTATGGTGGAAAATAAGTATTTGGTCAATAACAAAAGTTTCTCAATACTTTGTTATATACCCTTTGTTGGCAATGACACAGGTCAAACGTTTTCTGTAAGTCTTCACAAGGTTTTCACACACTGTTGCTGGTATTTTGGCCCATTCCTCCATGCAGATCTCCTCTAGAGCAGTGATGCTGTCGCTGGGCAACACGGACTTTCAACTCCCTCCAAAGATTTTCTATGGGGTTGAGATCTGGAGACTGGCTAGGCCACTCCAGGACCTTGAAATGCTTCTTACGAAGCCACTCCTTCGTTGCCCGGGCGGTGTGTTTGGGATCATTGTCATGCTGAAAGACCCAGCCACATTTCATCTTCAATGCCCTTGCTGATGGAAAGAGGTTTTCACTCAAAATCTCACGATACATGGCCCCATTCATTCTTTCCTTTACACGGATCAGTCGTCCTGGTCCCTTTGCAGAAAAACAGCCCCAAAGCATGATGTTTCCACCCCCATGCTTCACAGTAGGTATGGTGTTCTTTGGATGCAACTCAGCATTCTTTGTCCTCCAAACACGACGAGTTGAGTTTTTACCAAAAAGTTATATTTTGGTTTCATCTGACCATATGACATTCTCCCTATCCTCTTCTGGATCATCCAAATGCACTCTAGCAAACTTCAGACGGGCCTGGACATGTACTGGCTTAAGCAGGGGGACACGTCTGGCACTGCAGGATTTGAGTCCCTGGCGGCGTAGTGTGTTACTGATGGTAGGCTTTGTTACTTTGGTCCCAGCTCTCTGCAGGTCATTCACTAGATCCCCCCGTGTGGTTCTGGGATTTTTGCTCACCGTTCTTGTGATCATTTTGACCCCACGGGGTGAGATCTTGCGTGGAGCCCCAGATCGAGGGAGATTATCAGTGGTCTTGTATGTCTTCCATTTCCTAATAATTGCTCCCACAGTTGATTTCTTCAAACCAAGCTGCTTACCTATTGCAGATTCAGTCTTCCCATCCTGGTGCAGGTCTACAATTTTGTTTCTGGTGTCCTTTGACAGCTCTTTGGTCTTGGCCATAGTGGAGTTTGGAGTGTGACTGTTTGAGGTTGTGGACAGGTGTCTTTTATACTGATAACAAGTTCAAACAGGTGCCATTAATACAGGTAATGAGTGGAGGACAGAGGAGCCTCTGAAAGAAGAAGTTACAGGTCTGTGAGAGCCAGAAATCTTGCTTGTTTGTAGGTGACCAAATACTTATTTTCCACCATAATCTGCAAATAAATTCATTAAAAATCCTACAATGTGATTTTCTGGATTTTTTTTCTCTCAATTTGTCTGTCATAGTTGATGTGTACCTATTATGAAAATTACAGGCCTCTCTCATCTTTTTAAGTGGGAGAACTTGCACAATTGGTGGCTGACTAAATACTTTTTTCCCCCACTGTATATGCCATATCTTTCTAACTGTGCTCTTTCACAAAAGCTCCCAACCTACAACCTACAATTTATTATGGACACAGTATGCTTACATAATTAGTTATTTTGTTATTAGTTGTTGTTAGTTACTATTAGTCCCATCCTTCAACTCCATTCAACACCACCCATCTATCTCTTAACACCATCCATATAGGATTTCTATTTGCCATATATTTTTCAACTGTACAGTGATATTTTACAAAAGTTCTGAACCTTTCTATTCTCATTGTTTCTACAGATTGTAAATAAACATTTTTGCTAAAAGTATTATTATATTATTGATTGATTGACTATGACTTTTCAGATCACCCAGTAATGCTATCTGCAAGGTTAGCTCCAGGTAAATATTGCAATCCTTTAGCCATTCCTGGACCTGTGTCCAAAAACAGGCTACAAATGGACAGTACCAAAACAAATGATCTAATGATTCTGTCTCTTCGCAGCAAAATCTGCAGAGCTGGGAAGATTGTATCCCCCATATAAATAACATTCTATTGGTAGCAAGAATTTTATATAATAATTTAAATTGAAAGATTCTAAGTTTTGAATCCGGTGTTGTTTTGCGTATCAGTTCATAAACACTATGCCATGGGATCGGTACGTCAAAAATCTCTTCCCAACTATTTTTCAATCTGTATGGGAAGGCTGTCAATCCTTTGGTCCTTAAATGAAACTGGTATACTTTTTTATTTATCACAGTTTTCTTTAACCAATGATGTTCTTTAATGCAAGGCCGACAGACAAGTTCCTTACTTTCTCCCCCTTCCACTTTCCTCTTCCATTTTTGCGGTAAGGCTGCAATTATTTGGTTGTAATTTTGGGTAGAGCAGACATTTCTATATGTTTTTGTTAGCTGCATGTGCGACATAACTCCACCAGTCCTACCGATGATATCATTTACAAAGATAATACCTTTTTTAAACAAATTTTTTGTCAATTAGTATATTTGAGTTTAACCACAATATTTGTTGCATTATTTGTTCTGTCGTTTCTGGAGGATTAAATTGAAATTGCAACCAACTTTCTATGGCTTGTTTTAGAAATAGTGATATTTGGGAGATGATTTCCTTTTCAAATAACTGAAAGTGAGAGGTTGTAATCTGAATAAAGGGAAAAAGGCCATTCTTGAACATTGGGTGAGACAATCTTACTAATTTGCTAGAGAACCAGTTCGGATTTAAGTATAACTTTTGTATGACTGAAGCTTTTAGTGATAGGTCTAATGCTTTAATATTTAATAATATCTGTCCTCAGAATTCATATTCATTATATAAATAGGCCCGTTTAATTTTGACTGGCTTGCCGTTCCAAATAAAATTGAATATTTTTTTCTCATATAATTAAAAAAACTGTTCGCTAGGCGTAGGCAAGACCATAAGCAAATAGGTAAACTGGGATGATACTAAAGAGTTAATCAGGGTGATTTTTCCACAAATTGACAGGTATTTACCTTTCCATGGTAGCAAGATCTTATCTATTTTTGCTAACTTTCTATTAAAATGTATTGGAGTGAAATCATTTATTTCCTTTGGGATACAGTGCTATGAAAAAGTATTTGTCCCCTTTCTAATTTTCTCTACTTTTGCATATTTGTGATACTGAATGTTATCAGATCTTCAACCAAAACCTAATATTAGATAAAGGGAACATAAGTGAACAAATAACACAACAATTACATATTTATTTCATAAACAAAGTTATGCAACACCCAATTCCCCTGTGTGAAAAAGTAATTGCCCCCTTACACTCAATAACTGGTTGTGCCACCTTTAGCTGCAATGACTCCAACCAAATGCTTCCTGTAGTTGTTGATCAGTCTCTCACGTCGCTGTGGAGGAATTTTGGCCCACTCTTCCATGCAGAACTGCTTTAACTCAGTGTCGTGTGGGTTTTCAAGCATGAACTGCTCGTTTCAAGTCCTGCCACAACATCTCAATTGGGATTAGGTCTGAACTTTGACTAGGCCATTCCAAAACGTCCAATTTGTTGTTTTTTAGCTATTTTTGTGTAGACTTGATTGTGTGTTTTGGATCATTGTCTTCCTGCATGACCCAGCTGTGCTTCAGCTTCAGCTCAGAGACAAATGGTCTGACATTCTCCTGTAGTTCATGCTTGAAAACCCACACGTCACTGAGTTAAAGCAGTTCTGCATGGAAGAGTGGGCCAAAATTCCTCCACAGCGACGTGAGAGACTGATCAACAACTACAGGAAGCATTTGGTTGGAGTCATTGCAGCTAAAGGTGGCACAACCAGTTATTGAGTGTAATGGGGCAATTACTTTTTCACACAGGGGAATTGGGTGTTGCATAACTTTGTTTATGAAATAAATGAAATAAATATGTAATTGTTGTGTTATTTGTTCACTTATGTTCCCTTTATCTAATATTAGGTTTTGGTTGAAGATCTGATAACGTTCAGTATCACAAATATGCAAAAGTAGAGAAAATTAGAAAGGGGGCAAATACTTTTTCATAGCACTGTATGCATTCCGAGTATATCCACATCACCATCAGACCATTTTATTGGTAAACTACACGGTAATGTAAAAATTGTATTTTTTAGTGATCCAATACGTAATATAGTACGTTTGTCATAATTTGGTTGTAATCCAGAGAGGTTAGAAAATGTATCTAGATCCTCTATGAGGCTGTGGAGGGATTCTAGTTGTGGATTTAAAAGAAAACATGAATGATCAGCGTACAATGACACCTTTGTTTTTAAGCCCTGGATTTCTAATCCCTTGATATTATTGTTGGATCTGATTTGAATAGCAAACATCTCGATGGCCATAATAAATAGATATGCCGATAGTGGACAACCTTGTTTCACTCCTCTTGACAGTTTAAAACTTTCTGAGAAATAGCCATTATTTACTATTTTACACCTAGGGTTACTATACATGATTTTGACCCATTTTATAAGAGATTCTCCAAAATTGAAATGCTCCAAGCATTTATATATAAACCCCAGTCGTACTTTATCAAATGTCTTTTTGAAGTCTGCTATGAAAAGCAGGCCTGGTTTCCCAGATTTTCCATAGTGTTCTATTGTTTCCAGTGCTTGCCTTATATTATCTCCAATGTATCTTCCATGTAAAAAACCTGTCTGATTAGAATGAATAATGTCCAACAATACCTTTTTAATTATATCCGCTATACATGTTGCTAGAATTTTTGCATCACAACACTGAAGTGTAAGGGGCCTCCAATTTTTTTTATGGACTGGATCTTTATATTTTCCACTTGTACCCTGTTTCAGTAATAATGAAATCAGACCTTCTTGAGTGTCTGATAATCTACCATTTACATAGGAGTGGTTAAAACATGCTAATAACGGTCCTCTTAGTATATCAAAAAAGTTTTGGTATACCTCGACTGGTATGCCATCCAACCCTGGAGTTTTCCCAGACTTAAAGTCTTTAATTGCATCCAGAAGTTCCTCCTCTGTAATTTCACCTTCACGTGAGTCTTTCTGTATGGCTGTTAATTTTACATTATTAATAGAAAAAAAATCTCTACAATTAGCTTCAGTTAGAGGAGATGGAGGCGACTGAAACGAAAACATATGCTTAAAGTACTTTGTTTCCTTCTTCAAAATATCATTTGGTGAATCATGGGTGACTCCGTCAATTGTAACCAGTTTCATTAAATTATTTTTGGTTGAAGATTTAAAAAAGAATTTTGCGCATTTTTTCCCATATTCCATCCAGTTTGCTATATTTTTATAATATATTACACTTGATCTTTCTTGAATAAGTTTTTCCATTTCTTTTTGTTTTTCCTGTAATTTATTCTGAGCCTCTTTGTTACAGTTTTTATTGCCATCTATCTGTTCTGTTAGACCTTCTATTTCCTTTGTTAGTATAAGCTCTTTTGACCTAAATTGCTTTTGTTTTCGAGATGAGTACTGAATTGCATGGCCTCTAAAGGCACATTTAAAGGCGTCCCATACAATAATGAAAATGAATGTTCTTAATGGACTGATTTATATCTACAGTAATTCATGAAAAAAGACTTGTCCTGTTTCAAATTATTTCTTCTTATTTCGTGCCTACTCAATGTCACCCTAGTCTAAAAAAGTTCAGAGTTCTCGTCTTCCATACCTCTGGATGCCGTCGGTGACGATGGGAAACATGGTGATGTTCTCCTCTGAGCTGAAGAGAGGCCGCAGGGAACTGTACCACGTGTTGACCACAGTCACCATCTGGAAGCCTGCTCATACAACATCCACATAAACAACACATCTCCAGTAACCAAACTCAGTGACTCTTCTAAGAACACTAGTCAGTTTAACAATGCAGCACAAAGTGGAAAACACAGATCAATATTATGTCTCACAATAGCCAGCTAATATAGATTGTGAATAGTTGTATGAAGTCAAGGACCTGGTACTGCAAATGGATGAAAACATACTGTCTGTACTGTGCATTGACAAGTGTGTACCTGTACATACACTGAGTGTAGAAAACATTAAGAACACCTGCTCTTTCCATGACATAGACTGACCAGGTGAATCCAGGTGAAAGATATGATCCCTTATTGATGTCACATGTTAAATCCACTTCAATCAGTGTAGATGAAGGGGAGGAGACAGGTTAAAGAAGGATTTTTAAGCCTTGAGACAACTGAGACATAGATTGTGTATGTGTGCCATTTGTTCATTCGTTCATTCAGAGGGTGAATGGGCAAGACAAAATATTTAAGTGCCTTTGAATGGGGTAATGGTAGTAGGTGCCAGGCGCACTGGTTTGTGTCAAGAACTGCAACACTGCTGGGTTTTTCACGCTCAACAGTTTCCTGTGTGTATCAAGAATGGTCCACCAACCTAAAGGACATCCAGCCAACTTGACACAACATTGGGAAGCATTGGAGTTAACATGGGCCAGAATCTCTGTGGAATGCTTTCAACACATTATAGAGTCCACTCCCCGACGTAATGAGGCTGTTCTGAGGGCAACTCAATATTAGGAAGGTGTTCTTAATGTTTTGTACAACAGTGCTTGATAAATTATTGGTATGTCTTTTAAAATCCTGCTTCACTACATCGCCGACTACTACTGTTTTTAGTGTTAGAGGAATACATGGTTGAGACTGTAAAGTAGTCGGCTATGACTGAAGGAGTGCAGATTCTCATCTAGACACAGTACAGCCACAGACAGTACAGCTACAGACAGTACAGCTACAGACAGTACAGCGCTCTCAGGGATGTCTCTCACCGTTGTCATGGAGATCCTGAATGTTCTGCGTGGGGACTGAGATGCAGTCTATGTTGGTGTCGCTGTCCACCACTGGACCACAGAACTTAGACCCGCTAGATCCTTCTCCCAGACTCTGCTGCTGGACCTCCAGCTCTGAATGACATAAATAACTATTCTCAGTGGAATTAACTATAGTAAGAGGAATGGTTGTAGTCACAGCAGCACATCCTACAAAAAGTGCTGGGCTAATGAGTATACATGTAAAGGACAGAAAGGCCTGGTCACTATATGCTCCTATATACTACCACCTGTGACCTGATGAAAATCCACTGTGGATAGGAATGTTGTAATTAAAGGTGGTATAAGGAGCATACATAATGTGCAGGCCTATCTGTCCTTTTTGTATTACAGTAAGAGGAACAGCTAAGTGCTCCATAGCGGTTGGTAAATAACATTGTATTGTAGCAGTCTATGAAGATGCCTGTGTTAGGAAGTAGTAGGTCTATAAGAACAAAGGTAAGAACAAGCATGAAGCTCATGTGGCGGGGTCCAAAAAAGGTCTAGATTTCTCTGAATAGCAGTAGACACATTACCCACATTAAAAAATACTATATTATAAACTGGGTGGTTCGAACCTGAATGCTGATTGGCTGACAGCCGTGGTATATCAGACCATATACCATGGGTATGACAAAACATTTATTTTTACTGCTCTAATTACATTGGTAACCAGTTTAGAATAGCAATAAGGCACCTTGGGGGTTTGTGAGGTTATATACCACACCTCTGGGGCCTTATTGCTTAAGTATAAACTGGGTTGGTTCGAGCCCTGAGCCATGGTATATTGGCCATATACCACACCCCCTCGTGCCTTATTGCTTAAGTATACTATGGTATACATACTACAGCATTCACTGTAGTGCTTTTGTGGACTTTACTGTAGTTTTCACTGTGGTGTTTTACAGTAGCATACTGTAGTATTTACTGTTTACTATAGTATAAATAATGTAGCAAAATAAAACTAGTATATAATATAGTAATCCATGTAATGTTTTTGCAGATTGTACTATACTGTAGTATTTACTGTAGTGTTTTTGCGGACATTACAGTAGTATTTAATATAGTTTTTGCGGATTGAGGGATACTAAAGTGTGTAGTATAGTATTCAACAGTATACTACAGTTTACTACAGAATTCTACATTAAGTACTGTAATATTCTATAGTAAACTGTAGTATTTTTTCATGTGGATACACAAAGGGATATCAAACCAATTCTGAATTAGCCACTGGAAGATGTTATCGGTTCAATATTGCTTTGTGTAGTATTTCTGTCCACTCTCTCAGCCTTTCATAAGCACACAGAACACACTCTAAAAGTCTAGAGAATGTACTGTACTGTAAGTGACTTACTGATGTTGGAGCTGTGAATGAGCAGACGGTCAGTTTCTGCCATCAGCCGAGTGCTCAGACTGGTCACCATGCGGTCAATACTCTTGACCACAGCCATCGGTCCACTCACCACCTGGGGCCCAGGGAAGGGATAAGGGTATGGGGTTCATCATAGCAATATACTGGTCATTGGTAGGGCCAGGAGTTTCACCTGGCCACGTGATCTGACCAGGATATTAGGCCTATAACTAGTACACAGAGTTTGGTCAGCTGGTCAGGAGACTCCTGGCTGTAGTTATTGGGTAAGAGCAGACACTGTGAGTGAAACAGTGCTATGTGGGTGAGAAAAGCGACATTGTATCAGTTCTCTAGCTGCTCTAATACATTCAGTCTGGCTGCACTGTGCTGCTGTGACCTTGGAGGATAGAAAGGCCTGGGAGAGGGGAGGTGAGTGAAGTGGAGGAAGCGAGCGCTGCATGAATATGAACACTTATCATATGGCTACCACTAGGATACATATACATATAGTATACATGCTTCATATGAAGTTTAATGTAAGAAATATAATATATCAGAGATCATAATACAGTCGTGGTCAAAAGTTTTGAGAATGACACAAGTATTGGTCTTCACAAAGTTCGCTGCTTCAGTGTTTTTAGATATTTTTGTCAGATGTTACTATGGTTTACTGAAGTATAATTACAAGCATTCCATAAGTGTCAAAGGCTTTTTATTAACAATTACATTAAGTTTATGCAAAGAGTCAATAATTGCAGTGTTGACCCTTCTTTTTCAAGACCTCTGCAATCCGCCCTGGCATGCTGTCAATTAACTTCTGCGCCACATCCTGACTGATGGCAGCCCATTCTTGCATAATCAATGCTTGGAGTTTGTCAGAATTTGTGGGTTTTTGTTTGTCCACCCGCCTCTTGAGGATCGACCACAAGTTCTCAATGGGATTAAGGTCTGTGGAGTTTCCTGGCCATGGACCCAACATTTCAATGTTTTGTTCCCCGAGCCACTTAGTTATCACTTTTGCCTTATGGCAAGGTGCTCCATCATGCTGGAAAAGGAATTGGTCGTCACCAAACTGTTCTTGGATGGTTGGGAGAAGTTGCTCTCGGAGGATGTGTTGGTACCATTCTTTATTCATGGCTGTGTTCTTAGGCAAAATTGGGAGTGAGCCCACTCCCTTGGCTGAGAAGCAACCCCACACATGAATGGTCTCAGGATGCTTTACTGTTGGCATGACACAGGACTGATGGTAGCGCTCACCTTCTCTTCTCCGGACAAGGTGTTTTCCGGATGCCCCAAACAATCGGAAAGGGGATTCATCAGAGAAAATGACTTTACCCCAGTATTCAGCAGTCCAATCCCTGTACCTTATGCAGAATATCAGTCTGTCCCTGATGTTTTTCCTGGAGAGAAGTGGCTTATTTGCTGCCCTTCTTGACACCAGGCCATCCTCCAAAAGTCTTCGCCTCACTGTGCGTGCAGATGCACTCACACCTGCCTGCTGCCATTCCTGAGCAAGCTCTGCACTGGTGGTGCCCCGAACCTGCAGCTGAATCAACTTTAGGAGACGGTCCTGGCGCTTGCTGGACTTTCTTGGGTGCCCTGAAGCCTTCTTCACAACAATTGAACGTCACTTCTTGAAGTTCTTGATGATCCGATAAATTGTTGATTTAGGTGCAATCTTACTAGCAGCAATATCCTTGCCTGTGAAGCCCTTTTTGTGCAAAGCAATGATGACGGCACATGTTTCCTTGCAGGTAACCATGGTTAACAGAGGAAGAACAATGATTTCAAGCACCACCCTCCTTTTAAAGCTTCCATTCTGTTATTCTAACTCAATCAGCATGACAGAGTGATCTCCAGCCTTGTCCTCATCAACACTCTCACCTGTGTTAACGAGAGAATCACTGACATGATGTCAGCTGGTCCTTTTGTGGCAGGACTGAAATGCAGTGGAATTTTTGGGGGGGATTAAGTTCATTTTCATGGCAAAGAGGGACTTTGCAATTAATTGAAATTCATCTGATCACTCTTCATGACATTCTGGAGTATATGCAAATGTCCATCATCAAAACTGAGGCAGCAGACTTTGTGAAAATTAGTATTTGTGTCTTCTCAAAACTTTTGACCACGACTGTAGTCTGTGAAAAAGTGCTGCATCTATTTACAAATTAGACCTGTTTATTGTTACGCTAGATATTCATGCATTTAGAACAGATTAAACTTAGTATATGTACAATTAAGCTTTATCAAGATTCAGCTTTATGTGTTCTGTACATGTACACTAACTAATTTAGCTAAGCACAACCATTCATTTGATAGTTTCTCGGTCATTCACAGTATCCATCTTACTGCCCTCTAGTGGAGATATGCTAAAATCATGCTCCATTAGTCAAGTTCCTAACACCTTATCTCTGCCTCCACCTGTTCCCAGTCATTGTTGTAGCTTGCCTCTGGTACCTGATATACACAGGGCCTCGTAAACCACTTTGAATAATTGATTGATACCTGTTTGATGGCCTGCCACTTGGGGGCGTTGTCTTGGCTGATGATGCTGTCAGCCACAGTGATGAAGGTGTGGCTGAGCTCCCCAGCGCTGTTGGTGGCCCGGCTGTGGTTGCCCTCCTTGGCCATGTCTGTGGGCACGTCTGCAGCCCGCGCCAGCAGCTGGACCAGGGACAGCATGTCCCCAGGCTGCAGCCCCTCCCTGGTATCCTCCAGGGCCTGCCTGGACATGTTGAGCAGACTGGACACCTGACCCCAGCTCATCTGGCCCCCTGGCTGCTCCCCCCATCACACCCTCCATGCCCTGATGAACGCACGCACGCACACACACACACACACACACACACACACACACACACACACACACACACACACACACACACACACACACACACACACACACACACACACACATACACACATACACACATACACACACACACAAAATTGGACATCATTTTCTGACAGAACAAAGTTTAAATTGCTGTGTCAAGTTGAGTAAGTTAGAGATCAATCGTAAATGTCCTAATCCTGACAGGCAACCAATGACTTATAGTAATCAGTCTTTACCTGTGTTCCATTGGAGAGCTGCATGAGGTGGTTCATGAAGGGACTGGGATGGGAGTTCTGAAACTCACTCAACTCCTTCATCTTAACATAGCGCTCTGTAACAGAGAGCCATGTGTCAGAAACAGTCCATGTTTCCTCTCTGATGTTTTGTTAGGGTATTTAGTTACAAACATTGTACAGAGTCACAACTATTCATGTTCAATCATTTTCCCTAATGTGATGCTAAATTCGTTTCACTAGTCAGTTCAGATATATACATGTTATTGTTGTACAGTAAAGAGTCATGTAGTAAGTACTGTGATAGCCATGTTTGTTACAGTATGTAAGTAATGGTCTAGGCCTATGTAGTGGCAGTCTAGGTAGTGGTTGACTCACCCCTGCTGGTCCTGCAGATGAAGGGCAGTGTGGTGGAGCAGTCTGCAGAGCTGTACAGGGGGAGCTGTTGGCTAGACCAGCCCTCTAGAGCCCTGCAGCCCTGCATCTCCCTCTGCCTGTGGACCGCTGCTCACACAACACAACACAACACACAGACACACAGCATGAGACAGCTCCAGTAACTACGTAATCCGTTTATTTTCTACTAAAGTTAATAGAAATACATTTAAATGACTTATTTGTATCAAGTGAGCTCTTGATTTTGTGACACCTTTGTTTAATCCATAGTCCTCTAAGTATTTGGTTTAATTTAGCATGCTGTAGCATAACATGTTCGCAATCTAAAGCAATTTACATGTATAAGTGAAAGACCATCATATTTTCATATTAATATTCAACAACCTTTGAAAAAGACAGACAATTCCTTGCAATTATTTTGACCGTGTTTGACATTTTTACTGAGAATGGCTGCCAACAAAAAGCCAGTCAACTTGTTACTCACAGAAATGGAATCCCTTCTTTTTCATGACAGTTAAACGTTTTGTTGCTTTTCACTATTGAGTAGAGCTCCATTCTCTTCGTAAAGCACAGACCTCATACTTGCGTGAATCCCCCTCCTCTGCCCTCCAGATGGCCTTTAGCCAGTGAACCACGCTAACCAGTTTCCTCTCCCCCATGCATCTCTCTCAGACAGACATACTGGATGTGTTCAGGCAGACAGCCACTGGCTTAACTGACCTCTTTAGAGGTAGATCACCCAGAATGATTCAACAACCAACTGACGGGGGACTGGGAACATTAACCACTGCCTCAGTATTGGATTAGTAATAGAAACGGATTGATCTGGAAGAAGGACAATAGGTTTGTGATAGAAAGCCCAATAGAGGAGGTACCATATCAGAATAAAAAAGCTATGTGAAAGAATCAAAAGACCTACATTCTGATTTTAAATCTGCAGGAGGCCACCCAAATAATGCATGCTGAATTTTGTGTGTGAACAAATCCTTCTTCAATGTAAAATAGGCTACTTGACTAGGAGCAAGAGACCACAAGGGGCATGTGAAACAAAAGGGCAGATAGTAAGTTTAAATGGACAAGATTCAACTGCTAAGATGACAATTAAATCAAACAAAAAATATATCAACCTCGAATCAAAAGCACTGATAAAAAGCACATCCAATAAAGAGAGCAGATCAGATTATGGCTATATTTTATGTAGGGATCTCTCATTGCTGTGAGAGTGTTGGTGCAGTCTCACCTGGGCAGAACAGCATGGCTGACACCTCCCTGACCACTGGGTGACGGGTCATATTATCAATACTCCAGGTAAAGATAGCTTGCTGGGTCAAAGGCGAGCAGCCGCTCAGGGCACGGAACTGCCTCTGCTCCAAGGATGTGTCCCAGACATTCAGATCTGTGATATTCCCTACGAAGGGCTCAGTGAAGTTCCCTCCGAATGAGTCCTGGTCCTGCCCCAGGATAAGTATGCCATCTCCATGCATATCCCTGGGTGTGTCAGTCCCGGAGCCCATGGCCCCTCTCTCCCCATCCACATAGATGGCCCAGTGGCCGTCAGTCTTGCGCCAGGTAACACAGAGGTGGTGCCAGGCCCCATCGTTGGGGAAGGAAGCCTTGTAGGGGCGGTGCTGCCCGTGGACGATGAGCGCCAGCAGAATGCGTCCTGTTCTGTCCACCTGCCCGCGCAGCTGGAACTCATTGGTGAAGACAGGTGCGGCGTAGGAGTACATGGTGGACACCTGGTCCCACTGGGGGTCCCACTGCACGCGGACACACACGCTCACCGCTGGCAGGGCCGGAAACATCATGTTGACACGGCCATAGCCCTCCTGAGAGTCCCTGGGGAAGTTCAGGGCTTGGAAGAGCATGTCTAACAGGTAGAGACAGAAGGAGATCATCACTCTCAATGTTGGCCTTGATCACAACACAAAGCCAAGGTGTCTATAGACAACTTGATAGAGTGGAAGAGATGAATGCAACATGGCATCAAGACATAGGTGTTGTAGTTGCTAAACTCACACTGTTTGGCGAGGGCCAGAGGCCTGCTGGTTGGTCTGTTGGGGTCCCTGACCCACATGGGTCCATGCAGGCCTGCCTGCCTCTGGAGCTCCAGGGTTCCCTCCTCGTCTTCAGGCTGGCCCAAGGTGGTGAGGGAGCTGAATTGGCCGCTGCAGAAGCTCCTTGCCTGGGAGAGGTCCAGGGATACGTTGACCAGCTGGAACACCCAGTCTGATGTTTGATGGACCAGACTGCCCTCTGTCATTATGACCACAAAACCACAAATAGGCGTGGATCACACTTTACAGGAACACCTCTATAATCTCTTTGAGCAAATCTCTATGGAAACAACATGGAACAGACATGATATCCTAAAGAGATTCAAGCATCATACATCAGGTTGTAAGAGTTGCTGCCATGGCATTGAAAGTCATTGACAGTTCCAGAACTCACCGTCTGTGTCCATCTCTCCTTTGTCTGGCCCTGGCTGTGTTGGCTCACATTCACACAGCACCTACAGTAGAGGAAACATTTACACTGCTTTATTCTTTGGCTATGGCATTGACATGTAATATCCTTGATATGTACTTCTCCTATGAACTCAGTATAGAAACAAGCAGAACAATGGAGTCAAATGAATCGTTGTGTTTAGCCTATCAAACTTAGATCTACCAATAAATTAATTAATTTCTACAGTAAAACGCTTAAAACAATGAATGGATTCATTTTCCAAATTATTTCATTTTATATATAAGAAAGGAATAGACATTACCACTATGCAACAGAGCAGAACCCCAGGCAGCATGGCTCCAGTCATCTCTACGTCTCAGTGTTCCACAGCTGGAACAAAACACAATGCTAACTGGCCTCTCCCTTTCAGCATTTAGGTTTCTTCAATGGATCATACTGTATTCATATCAAAGACCAATTCACATCTGTTCATCAATACAATGACTAACACAGCGCAAAAACATACTGTATAAACAATATTTGAAGTATTATAAATATGATACTATATTTTGTGTATATTTCAAAGAGAACCACTTCAAATAAAATAGCGATAGGATGCTTATCTTACCGTATAACACACATAAAAGTTACCCCAGACCCACACAGCACCAAGTGATGTCCCCTTATTTGTGTAATTGGGCTTTCTGTAGACTCGTAGTGAACAGACTGCTCCGACTCCAGCTCTCAATGCCTAGTGCTACTCCAAGGCTGCTTTAACTCTCCTTAAATCCTGATGACCACTACTCTGATTTCCTGCGTGTCCTCTGACCTGTGTCCAGTCCAGTCAGTTCGTCCACTGTCCAGCAGCTTTAGCCTCCAGCATCTCCTGCTTAACTGGCCTCTATGGAGGAGTCTCTGCTGTGCATTGTGAGGAGTGCTGTCCGTTGCCTTTCTGTCCAACAGTCACCCTCTGCCTCCAACAGTCACCCTCTGCCCCCCCCCCACCACCACACTCCTCGGCGCTCTTGAATCAGTAGCATGCTGTGTCATGCAAATAGGGCAATTTTTTTAAAGAACCCTACTAATGCAAACAGTGCCAAGCCTTTGGCACGGAGAGTTCATCAAGACCAGCAGGGTGGCAAGCATTTCTGCACCACTCTTACTGTCTGTTGCTGCTATGTACTGTATACATTAAGGTAAACTACATGACCAAAAGTATGTGGACACCTTCTCGTCGAATGGCATTAATATGGCGTTGGTCCCCCCTTTGCTGCTATAACAGCCTCCACTCTTCTGGGAAGGCTTTCCACTAGATGTTGGAACATTGCTGCAGGGACTTGCTTCCATTCAGCCACAAAAGCATTAATGAGGTCGGGCAGTGATGTTTGGCGATTAGGCATGGCTCGCAGTCGGCGTTACAATTCATCCCAAAGGTGTTCGATGGGGTTGAGGTCAGGGCTCTGTGCAGGCCAGTCAAGTTCTTCACACTGATCTCGACAAACCATTTCTGTATGGACCTGGCTTTGTACACGGGGGCATTGTCATGCTGAAACAGGAAAGGGCCTTCCCCAAACTGTTGCCACAATGTTGGAAGGACAGAATCGTCTAGAATGTCATTGTATGCTGTAGCATTAAGATTTCCCTTCACTGGAACTAAGGGGCCTAGCCCGTACCATGAAAAACTGCCCCAGACCATTATTCCTCCTCCACCAAACTTTAAGTTGGGGCAGGTAGCGTTCTCCTGGCATCCGCCAAACCCAGATTTGTCCGTCGGACGATGGTGAAGCGTGATTCATCACTCCAGATAACGCGTTTCCACTGCTCCAGAGTCCAATGGCGGCGAGCTTTACACAACTCCAGCCGACGCTTGGCATTGCGCATGGTGATTTTAGGCTTGTGTGCGGGTGCTCGGCCATGGAAACCCATTTCATGAAGCTCCCGACTAACAGTTCTTGTGCTGACGTTGCTTCCAGAGGCAGTTTGGAACCCGGTAGTGAGTGTTGCAACCGAGGACAGACGATACGCGCTTCAGCACTCGACGGTCCCGTTCTGTGAGCTTGTGTGGCCTACCACTTCGCGTTGTTGATCCTAGACGTTTCCACTTCACAATAACAGCACTTACAGTTGACTGGGGCAGCTCTAGCAGGGCAGAAATTTGACAAAGTGACTTGTTGGAAAGGTGACATCCTATGACAGTGCCACGTTGAAAGTCACTGAGCTCTTCAATAAGGCTATTCTACTGCCAATGCTTGTCTATGGATATTGCATGGCTATGTGCTCGATTTTATACACCTGTCAGTAACGGGTGTGGCTGAAATTGCAGAATCCACTCATTTGAAGGGGTGTCCACATACTTTTGTATATATAGTGTATCAGTACATTACATAGTCAATGAGATGTAATTCACTACAGATGATAATGAATTACTTAGGTTACTTTATTTAGGTTACTCTATATATACACTGAGTATACCAAACATTAAGAACACCTTCCTAATATTGAGTTGCTTCCTCTCTTTTGCCCTCAGAACAGCCTCAATTCGTACCACAGGGATGCTGGCCCATGTCGACTCCAATGCTTCCCACAGTTGTGTCAAGTTGGCTGGATGTCCTTTGGGTGGTGGACCATTCTGAATACACAAGGGAAACTGTTGAGCGTGGAAAAACCCAGAAGCATTCCAGTTCTTGACACAAACCGGTGCACCTGGCACCTACTACCATACTACTACCAGTTCAAAGGCAATTTAATATTTTGTCTTGCCCATTCACCCTCTGAATGGAACACATACACAATCCATGTCTCAATTGTCTCAAGGCTTAAAAATCCTTCTTTAACCTGTCTCCTCCCCTTCATCTACACTGATTGAAGTGGATTTAACAAGTGACATCAATAAGGGATCATAGCTTTCACCTGGATTCACCTGGTCAGTCTATGTCATGGAAAGAGCAGGTGTTCTTAATGTTTTGTATACTCAGTGTATAACATACTTTATGTAACATATACTTTCTTCTTAGATGCACAAAAGTGAACAGCATACATAGAAATTTACAGTGAGTACATACAGTGAGGGAAAAAAGTATTTGATCCCCTGTTGATTTTGTACGTTTTGCCACTGACAAAGACATGATCAGTCTATAATTTTAATGGTAGGTTTATTTGAACAGTGAGAGACAGAATAACAACAAAAAAATTCAGAAAAACGCATGTCAAAAATGTTATAAATTGATTTGCATTTTAATGAGGGAAAAAAGTATTTGACCCCTCTGTAAAACCCTTGTTGGCAATCACAGAGGTCAGATGTTTCTTGTAGTTGGCCACCAGGTTTGCACACATCTCAGGAGATGTTCTGTTCCATTCCTCTTTGCAGATCTTCTCCAAGTCATTAAGGTTTCGAGGCTGACGTTTGGCAACTCAAACCTTCAACTCCCTCCACAGATTTTCTATGGGATTAAGGTCTAGAGACTGGCTAGGCCACTCCAGGACCTTAATGAGCTTCTTCTTGAGCCACTCCTTTGTTGCCTTGGCCGTTTGTTTTGGGTCATTGTCATGCTGGAATAGCCATCCACGACCCATTTTCAATGCCCTGGCTGAGGGAAGGAGGTTCTCACCCAAGATTTGATGGTACATGGCCCCGTCCATCGTCCCTTTGATGTGGTGAAGTTGTCCTGTCCCCTTAGCAGAAAAACACCCCCAAAGCATAATGTTTCCACCTCCATGTTTGACGTTGGGGATTGTGTTCTTGGGGTCATAGGCAGCATTCCTCCTCCTCCAAACACGGCGAGTTGAGTTGATGCAAAAGAGCTCGATTTTGGTCTCATCTGACCACAACACTTTCACCCAGTTCTCCTCTGAATCATGTTCATTGGCAAACTTCAGACGGGCCTGTATATGTGCTTTCTTGAGCAGGGGGACCTTGCGGGCGCTGCAGGATTTCAGTCCTTCACGGCGTAGTGTGTTACCAATTGTTTTCTTGATGACTATGGTCCCAGCTGCCTTGAAATCATTGACAAGATCCTCCTGTGTAGTTCTGGGCTGATTCCTCACCGTTCTCATGATCATTGCAACTCCACGAGGTGAGATCTTGCATGGAGCCCCAGGCCGAGGGAGATTGACAGTTATTTTGTGTTTCTTCCATTTGCGAATAATCACACCAACTGTTGTCACCTTCTCACCAAGCTGCTTGGCGATGGTCTTGTAGCCCATTCCAGCCTTGTGTAGGTCTACAATCTTGTCCCTGACATCCTTGGAGAGGTCTTTGGTCTTGGCCATGGTGGAGAGTTTGGAATCTGATCGATTTATTGCTTCTGTGGACAGGTGTCTTTTATACAGGTAACAAGCTGAGATTAGGAGCACTCCCTTTAAGAGTGTGGTCCTAATCTCAGCTCGGTACCTGTATAAAAGACACCTGGGAGCCAGAAATCTTTCTGATTGAGAGGGGGTCAAATACTTATTTCCCTCATTAAAATGCAAATCAATTTATAACATTTTTTACATGCGTTTTTCTGGATATTTTTATTGTTATTCTGTCTCTCACTGTTCAAATAAACCTACCATTAAAATTATAGACTGATCATTTCTTTGTCAGTGGGCAAACGTACAAAATCAGCAGGGGATCAAATACTTTTTTCCCTCACTGTATACCTGTACTGAATATGAAATGAAATAAATAGTATGGACCACTCTCTGTTTTTGGTTTTAGTAGAGGGATCCTCCCGTGTGGCCCCAAGCACACACACATGTACTTGAGTGTAAGACCCCCACACAAAAGCCACTAATCTAATGCCCAGTGTACACTGATCTGGAAGACAAAGAGCTGCATTAGTATTCTCCTGGGTACCAACCAACCCACAGACTGAAAGCCACACCACAGACCCAGATCAACAAAGCCTGCTGCTGCTGCTGCACCAAGCTGGGCACCTCTCGCCTCCTTCCCCCTTAATCCGCTGTCTGAACAGCAGCCTGCGGCCACCCCCCCTCATCCAGACCATACACATTGGTTTGAACATGTAAGCGTCTTTTGCAAGTTTGCATTTGGAACAATTTAAACAATATAATTTATATGCATTTAGGATCTTATTTTGAGCCAGTTTGCTACAGCAGGAAAATAATCCTGCAGCAACAGGAAATGTGAATTATTATGTGGATTATAATTCATGGACAATTTTGTAGAGGTTGACACATCGTAAGCGAAAATCAAGTCTGAAATGTCAAAGTGGAAATTACAAACTTCAGAAGCTTTTTTAAACCTCAAATACAGTCCAAGTTCTAAATGTCCTGCATTGCAGAATTTTTTTCCTGCAACAGGGTGATCAAGTTAAGATCCTACATCTGTATTGAAGGATTGAAGATGTCCAACAGGCTACTTCTTTCACCTTCAGATTGTTTAAAATTCCTCAGTTCATTGAAGAAAATGTACAGTGTAGATTATCATAATCTGTATTGACTATTAATAATTTTCAACAGGTTTATGAAGAGTATTAATGAGGTTCTAAGTGTGTGTCGCTGTCCACCTTCTGTGTAAACAGTATAGCTAGAGCATCATTCTAAGCCCCATGTTGCTGACTCACTGCAGTAAAACACATTAGGGGTTGATATATAAAAATGAACTATCACCTATACACTGAGTTGACAAAAAGAATGGGTATAGTTGTGATGTTTCCTCCGACTCAGGGTGTCAGCAAAGGACACGCAAATATTGGAAACTCATGATGTTTAGAGGAGTATTGATTATGTCATTTGCCTTTGGTAAGTAGTAAGTTTAACATGGTGGTTTACATTTTATGAATCAACCCCATTGTTATGTTTGTGAGAGGTAGAGAAGAGATTTGTCTTGTATGTTGGTGAGATAGGGGTGTGATAAGCATCTCTACCCTGGTTGACTGAATTCAGGAAAGGTCTCTGTATACATAAGATATTTTAAATCCCATTCAAAAACATATTGATTGATGGTTTACTGATACCAACTTATGGGCAACACTCATCAATCTTTATTCACTTCAATCCATATTGTTCTTAATATAATTTGGGTTAACTGCAGGGCTTGTTGAAAAGGTACTGAGATTGAGGTGTAGGGTGACAGCGTAACAACCATGTTGAGAGAGTGAGGAGAATGTGGTGTGTAGGAGACGGCCTTGTTAACAGAGTAGGGCTGAGGGAGGAGATGTGGGATGCAGTGGAGGCATGACTACCTTGGTACACTGGTATGTCAACTGCAATGCAATGATTCACAGAGTAGTAAAAGCAGTGCTGGTAAACACATAATGTGGAAGAGGCACCACAGCATTGTCCGGGGGGATCCCAGAGCAACAGACTAACCACATCAGGAGCAAGGAGATGAAAGTCTGGCTGAAAAAGCACCTCTTTTACAGCTGCATGTTCATGGTAAAGAAAGAGCCTAGGACTTAAGGGGAGGCTCCAACCCATTTTACGTGAGTTTGTGTACCCTGATCCTATCCACACAAACTGTTGTAGATTAGCTATGTCAGATCATAACTGTCATTGTAGATATGGGGACGAGAGTGTCACTGACTTGCTGACAGTATTTCAGTAACTTCCCAATCGATTTTAGTCACATACTGTACAATACATCAGACAAGGTTAGGAACCTGAGGAGGTCTGAAAACAGTGATGTTGTTATTGGGATGTTGCAAACTGCAAGGACATAATGATTACAGTTCTAAATTACACTGGAAATGGTGGATAAATATCTGTCTGTCTTGTGGTCCTGAGTGGGCAAATACAGTACATCCCAAGCACATCTACCCACTCATACACACGACAAGTACAAATATAACACCAGCACAGACAATCGATAATGTTATGTTGTTTGTTGGTCTACACTGTACTGAATGCTGTGTTTTTGAAGGCTATGTAAGCTGGGTGTGTTGGGCTCCCTCTGTAAACGCCTACGTGTTCAGTCGCCTTGTCTGGCCACTGTGGGTTATTCCTCAGAGCAGCCTTGTTTCACACAAAGAGACTAGGACAGCATGAGAGACTAGGACAGCATGAGAGACTAGGACAGCATGAGAGACTAGGATAGGGATAGAGAGACTGTGGGGCTATTCAAGTTTCTCTGTTTTACAAAGTCAAAAGTCCATGACTACACTTAAATCCAACATCTTTTATCAATGTGACTGAAACATTAAACATTTACAGTCATTAACAAGACATCCATGTACTGTAAAACTAATAAAGTACAACATTTAGGCTTCTGAACTGCACTGAGTATTCTGGACACTCCTTCTTTAGCTTGGTGTCAACAAATATCCAATGTAAAGCAGTCAACTGCTTCTTTTAATCAACATTTGGCCATGATGTCACAGAAGTACACAAAAGAACCCAGGAATAATTGACCCCCCTCTTTTCACTCCCCTTTCCTCCACTCTAACTTTGCGGCCATTGCCACCCAGTGTATTTCCATGACAACCTGGGGGTTGTAAGAACGGCATGGAAACGTCAAACAGTGGGCTCGGCGGGCTCACATCAGAGGAGACAAAGGGCCAGTGAGCTACATGTGGGGAGAGGATGAACACTTTTCCCAGAAGCACCAGCCCACAGTAGCCTGCCCAGGCACCCTGGGATACTGACACCCCCAAAGTCTTTGTCTTGTTCAACAACAAAATTCTATATGATGAAGCTGAATGGTATTACATAACTGTAACACGCAACGCTATCTTGAGTTGCAACAAAGTGTCAAATTACTTACAATAATGTAAAGATAATGTAATGGTAATGTAAAGATAATGTAAAGATAAAATAATATATACAAAAAATGTCATTTTGTATCTTTATCTTTAACTCTGCATTGTTGGAAAAGGACCCGTAAGTAAGCATTTCACTGTTAGTCTACACCTGTTGTTTACGAAGCATGTGACAAATAACATTTGATTTGATTTTAATGTAAAATGGGCATCAATGTGTTGAGAGTTGAGGGGATACCTGCACTGTTTTGCTGTGCGCTCCATTACAGAGTGATTGTTACTACACTGTACTGCTGACTGATATCTTCCAAAGAGATGATAGAAGTGGTAGATCTATGGGATACAGGTGGCGTCCGGACATTTTGCTCAGTAATGTCTGGACTGAACACTGTCATCCTTTCCTGCAATCAAATGACCTAGTGGCCTCATGGATGGAATGTTATTAATATTTTTCATAATTAATAAACGTTACTTTTATGTCAAACAGTTTTGTTATATTTCAGTCTTCTGTGATATATTTAAAGTGTAATATTGGGATGCAAACTCAAAATTGAATACATTTCAACTCTGTATCTGACATGGTACAAGTGTCTTATTTTTTGTAAACCATGTGTGTGAGGTGTATACTTTTGTTTCAAAGTAGATTTGTTTAAGACTACCAAGAAACACTCTGTGTGACCCTGATTTAGCCCACTGCAGTAAATTAACCATCCAGAGTCCAGTGAATTCTCTACAAAGCAAATGCTACTCATATGGCTAATTCTAACAACCACTGTGTGAGTGCTCTGACAGACTGACCTGTAGTCAGATAAAGAGATTATTCAAAGGTTTAAAAATAACCAAAAGACAAGAATACATTCAGATGAGATTTATGGAATTATTAAAGAGGCAGGGGGTACATGTCTGTAAATCTGCGGTTCAGAAAATGGCAGAATATCACCTTGTTAACAAACATTCCTGCCTGGCTGGCCATTCGGGGGCATGTTTGTCCGGCCTAATCTGGCCAGAGCAGATAGTCTTGATGACCGCCCCTTCAACCATCAATCAGAACCTCTGCTGGGGAAAGGGTCAGTGGTGGAGGGATGTCACACCGTCGCTATGGAGACCGCCTTTTAAAGCAGCTCCATAAATGTTGTAGGGGCATTAGGTTGAGACAAAAACAGAAGGGGAGAGAGAGAGAGAGAGAGAGAGAGAGAGAGAGAGAGAGAGAGAGAGAGAGAGAGAGAGAGAGAGAGAGAGAGAGAGATAGAGAGAGAGAGAGAGAGAGAGAGAGAGAGAGAGAGAGAGAGAGAGAGAGAAGATAGAAAGATAGAAAGATAGAAAGATAGAAAGCGAGAGAGATGGTCTGACGGAGTCACAGGGTACAGGCTAACATTAGCTGTTAGCTTTATCTCAGATAACTCTTCCACTGCCAGGTCTGCGTCTGACCTTACTTATCTCTTATACATATCCTAAAACCACAGCTCATTTCAGACCTCTTTTTCACTAAAAAGCACCAATGCGTAATGTAAATTGTGCTGGACTCTACTGTGGACTCACTCAGTCAGTCGTAGAGCTCCCCACATCTGTTGATAGAGACTACTGTACATTCTAAACTTAAATGCACAATGTTCAAGTTTAAAACTGAACTCAAACTTTAGCCCTTGGCCAGTTGCTGAATTCATAGAAATGCTTCGCATTTTGTGTGAATGAAAACCAAAAGTGGTGAACTTGTTCAACGGGCGGTTGTAGTCCTCAGCAACTAATCATAGAGCACCGTCTAGCATTAAAACATTATGTTCAGCCACTTCCTCCTGAAAATTTGAAATTGTGTAATCTGTTCGTCTTCTATGACATCTATCTATCTATCTATCTATCTATCTATCTATCTATCTATCTATCTATCTATCTATCTATCTATCTATCTATCTATCTATCTATCTATCTATCTATCTATCTATCTATCTATCTATCTATCTATCTATCTATCTATCTATCTATCTATCTATCTATCTATCTATCTATCTATCTATCTATCTATCTATCTATCTATCTATCTATCTATCTATCTATCTATCTATCTATCTATCTATCTATCTATCTATCTATCTATCTATCTATCTATCTATCTATCTATCTACAGTGAGGGAAAAGAGTGTTTGATCCCCTGCTGATTTTGTACGTTTGCCCACTGACAAAGAAATGATCAGTCTATAATTTTAATGGTAGGTTTATTTGAACAGTGAGAGATAGAATAACAACAACAAAAATCCAGAAAAACGTATGTCAAAAATGTTATAAATTGATTTGCATTTTAATGAGGGAAATAAGTATTTGACCCCCTCTCAATCAGAAAGATTTCTGGCTCCCAGGTGTCTTTTATACAGGTAACGAGCTGAGATTAGGAGCACACTCTTAAAGGGAGTGCTCCTAATCTCAGTTTGTTACCTTTATAAAAGACAACTGTCCACAGAAGCAATCAATCAATCAGATTCCAAACTCTCCACCATGGCCAAGACCAAAGAGCTCTCCAAGGATGTCAGGGACAAGATTGTAGACCTACACAAGGCTGGAATGGGCTACAAGACCATCGCCAAGCAGCTTGGTGAGAAGGTGACAACAGTTGGTGCGATTATTCACAAATGGAAGAAACACAAAAGACCTGTCAATCTCCCTCAGCCTGGGGCTCCATGCAAGATCTCACCTCGTGGAGTTGCAATGATCATGAGAACGGTGAGGAATCAGCCCAGAACTACACGGGAGGATCTTGTCAATGATCTCAAGGCAGCTGGGACAATAGTCACCAAGAAAACAATTGGTAACACACTATGCCGTGAAGGACTGAAATCCTGCAGTGCCCGCAAGGTCCCCTTGCTCAAGAAAGAACATTTACATGCCCATCTGAAGTTTGCCAATGAACATCTGAATGATTCAGAGGAGAACTGGGTGAAAGTGTTGTGGTCAGATGAGACCAAAATCAAGCTCTTTGGCATCAACTCAACTCGCCGTGTTTGGAGGAGGAGGAATGCTGCCTATGACCCCAAGAACACCATCCCCACCGTCAAACATGGAGGTGGAAACATTATGCTTTGGGGGTGTTTTTCTGCTAAGGGGACAGGACAACTTCACCGCATCAAAGGGACGATGGACGGGGCCATGTACCATCAAATCTTGGGTGAGAACCTCCTTCCCTCAGCCAGAACATTGAAAATGGGTCGTGGATGGGTATTCCAGCATGACAATGACCCAAAACACACGGCCAAGGCAACAAAGGAGTGGCTCAAGAAGAAGCACATTAAGGTCCTGGAGTGGCCTAGCCAGTCTCCAGACCTTAATCCCATAGAAAATCTGTGGAGGGAGCTGAAGGTTCGAGTTGCCAAACGTCAGCCTCGAAACCTTAATGACTTGGAGAAGATCTGCAAAGAGGAGTGGGACAAAATCCCTCCTGAGATGTGTGCAAACCTAGTGGCCAACTACAAGAAACGTCTGACCTCTGTGATTGCCAACAAGGGTTTTGCCACCAAGTACTAAGTCATGTTTTGCAGAGGGGTCAAATACTTATTTCCCTCATTAAAATGCAAATCAATTTATAACATTTTTGACATGCGTTTTTCTGGATTTTGTTGTTGTTATTCTGTCTCTCACTGTTCAAATAAACCTACCATTAAAATTATAGACTGATCATTTCTTTGTCAGTGGGCAAACGTACAAAATCAGCAGGGGATCAAATACTTTTTCCCCTCACTGTATCTACCTCTCGCTTTCTCTCTCTCTGAATGTGAACTATTGTGTCTTTCAGTCCACATCAGTCTATCATACCCTCAGAGTGCTCTGCCACTCCAAATGAAAGGCTTTCCATTGGAAATTGCATTCTTGAGGAACGTACAAAAAAGGAACAATTTCTTACAAAAAGAGGTGACTCACTGTGAGGATTCCTGGAGGATAATACATTGAGCTGCAATTAGAAACGAGAGGTATGTGGATGTAATATGTGAAGGTCTGTCCCACACTTTTGAGGCACCTCAAGACCCCCACTTGAGTAAAACACATGATACTGTGTGTTTTGAATGAGCTGGTCAAGTGCAGATGCACCCATCTAATTGTGGGGATCTCTACAGCTGATAATGGAATGGCTTTGGGGCGTTCTAATAAAATAGGGTGTGCAAATGATAATGTCTCTAAAAATGAGCAAATGTGTCACTCTCTACCTGCACCCTCATTTTTTAACTATTATTCCTAGTTATCCATTACAGTAAATATCTATTGTCAAATAATCTCAATTCAGAGTATTTATTTATTGGCACTGCAGGCTTGGTGGATGTAAAAAACCTAATGAGATTTAAAATGTGATGAGGATATCACTGTACTCTGACAGCTATTCCTACAGACACACTGACACCAAGTGGCAGGATGTTGTATATACACCTTGTAAGTGGCCACAAGACCAGCACCATCCTCTAATACACTACAAATTAACAATTCTGACAGAGAAATCGAAGTGCACTGATGTGATTAAAATCTATGACAAAAATTCCCTCACTTTATGAAAGTTACGATTAAATGCATAAATATTATACTACTTCAACGCCACCAATTTCCAGCTGAAATTATGCACATGTCCACTAGGTGCTGCTGTTGTGTAAGGGCTCAATGCTCAGCGGCACCAGCTTGTGAGTCAATAATGAGTTATTATTGTCGACTTCTCAGGAGATCACAGGAGAGACAGGTTTTCCTGTTCTGATTTACCTGCTCTGACTGTTTCACCTGCAGTCACAGACTACTGCGGATATGAATGAGATGGGGAGGAAACAATTACCTTTAGCCAACACTGTGAAACAGCTGTGCAATTACTGAGAACAGAGGTTTGCACTTAGCCCACTCATTTCCCCAGCAACATGGCTCACCTCATGCTGCAACCCACAGCACAGCAGCCATCACAAAAAGCTAATTAAGGCCTCATCACACCTGGAGAGTAACATGCTGATCTGCATAAAATACATGTCAGAATGAGAGATTTCAATTCTGCACACCGTGACAAGTTTTATAATGCATCTACTCCTCATTACTGTATTCATTACAGAGGAAATCATAGAACCTTAATAATCCAGGTAAGCTATACAAAGTGTGATGTCGGTAGGAATGGTACTGATTGGTACTGTATCTCTCAGTGGCCTATTCAGGTACTGTATAATAGGTCTGTTATTACATATCAACTGATGAGTATGTCCCCACCCTCTGTCACTCTGTGTGTAACATTATGCTATGAATAAAGTAGAGGAAGTGATTGGCTGTGGTTGACAGGCTGTGTGGTGGAGCTGTATCAGACAGTGGTGCTGGCTATGTTATGGCTGTGTCTGACATGGCAGAGGGGTGTCAGGGGCTTGGCAGCTCAGTGTGCTGTGACAGATCCACGACTCCCCATAGACCTGCTGGAGGTTTCACTATACACTGTACTATAAGCCCTGTGGGTGGGAATACACTGTACATTGAACATGGTTCATGGTCCCAAGGACTCTGTAGCTTAGAGTATGGTGCTGGCAAGTGGCAACACCGAGGCTATGGGTTTGATTCCAACGTGGGCTACACTTTAAATATACTGTCTGGATGGTCTGGATTAGTCACTGTTAACTGTAAATAGTTTTGGATCAAAGTGTCTGCTTAATTATCGTATTTCTCAGAGTTTCAGAAGCACAGGGTTCCAGTCACCAGTAGAACCACTACAGGGAAAGGAAGGAAGGACAGAGAGCAGCTTCATGAACCTGATGACCTTCACTGTACCTGAGCTCCTCTCTGACTGCAGGTCCTGGCAGCGATCAGCCCAGAGTATGGAGTGGCCTAACATCTCGGTCATATACTTCCTATGATGAGAAAAAACTAACAGCTCAGTCTTTCTGTGATCATAAATGCAATAATTGTTACAATCAGTGCTGTATGTCAATGTTTCCTAATTTAATAATGTACAGTGCCTTGCAAATGTATTCATCCCCCTTGGCGTTTTTCCTATTTTGATGCATTACAACCTGTAATTTAAATGGATTTTTATTCGGATTTCACGTAATGGACATACACAAAATAGTCCCAATTGGTGAAGTGAAATGAAAAATTTCTAAAAAATAAATAACGGAAAAGTGGTGCATGCATATGTATTCACCCCCTTTGCTATGAAGCCACTAAATAAGATCTGGTGCAACCAATTACCTTCAGAAGTCACATAATTTGTTAAATAAAGTCCACCTGTGTGCAATTTAAGTGTCACATGATCTGTCACATGAGCTCAGTATACATACACCTGTTCTGAAGTGCCCCAGAGTCTGCAACACCACTAAGCAAGGGGCACCACCAAGCAAGCGACACCATGAAGACCAAGGAGCTCTCCAAACAGGTCAGGGACAAAGTTGTGGAGAAGTACAGATCAGGGTTGGGTTATAAAAAAATATCCGAAACTTTGAACATCCCACAGAGCACCATTAAATCCATTATTAAAAAATGAAAAGAATATGGCACCACAACAAACCTGCCAAGAGAGGGCTGCCCACCAAAACTCACGGACCAGGCAAGGAGGGCATTAATCAAAGAGGCAACAAAGAGACCAAAGATAACACTGAAGGAGCTGCAAAGCTCCACAGTGGAGATTGGAGTATCTGTCCATAGGACCACTTTAAGCCGTTCACTCTACAGAGCTGGGCTTTATGGAAGAGTCCCCAGAAAAAAGCCATTGCTTAAAGAAAAAAATAAGCAAACACGTTTGGTGTTCGCCAAAAGCCATGTGGGAGACTCCCTAAACATATCGAAGAAGGTACTCTGGTCAGATGAGACTAAAATTGAGCTTTTTGGCCATGAAGGAAAATGCCATGTCTGGCGCAAACCCAACACCTCTCATCACCCCGACAACACCATCCCCACAGTGAAGCATTGTGGTGGCAGCATCATGCTGTGGGGATGTTTTCCATCGGCAGGGACTGGGAAACTGGTCAGAATTGAAGGAATGATGGATGGCGCTAAATACAGGGAGATTCTTAGCATACTGCTGAAGCAACACTTGAGTGGTTTAAGGGGAATCATTTAAATGTCTTGGAATGGCCTAGTCAAAGCCCAGACCTCAATCTAATTGAGAATCTGTGGTATGACTTAAAGATTGCTGTACACCAGCGGAACCCAACCAACTTGAAGGAGCTGGAGCAGTTTTGCCTTGAAGAATGGGCAAAAGTCCCAGTGGCTAGATGTGCCAAGTTTATAGAGACATACCCCAAGAGACTTGCAGCTGTAATTGCTGCAAAAGGTGTCTCTACAAAGTATTGACTTTGGGGGGGTGAATAGTTATGCATGCTCAAGTTTTCTGTTTTTTTGTCTTATTTCTTGTTTGTTTCACAAAAAAAATTATTTTGCATCTTCAAAGTGGTAGGCATGTTGTGTAAATCAAATTATACAAACCCCCAAAAAATCCATTTTAATTCCAGGTTGTAAGGCAACAAAATAGGAAAAATGCCAAGGGGGGTGAATACTTTCGCAAGCCACTGTAAGACATGATACAGTACATTATTACTTTCATTACTATTTTACAGTATAGCATACAGTATATTTTGAAACTGAATGCAGTATAGCATACCATATATTTTTTAACTGAATGCAGTATAGCATACCGTATATATATATTTTTTTACTGAATGCAGTATAGCATACCATATATATTTTTTCACTGAATGCAGCATAGCATGCTGTATATATATATTTTTTTACTGAATTCAGTATAGCATACCGTATATATTTTTTACTGGATGCAGTATAGCATACCATATAGATTTTTACTGAATGCAGTATAGCATACTGTATTTATTAAAAACTGAATGCAGTATAGCATACCGAATGGCATTTTATAAAGTAAGACATAGTTATTGTGTTGTTTTGGCCACTTGAAAACTGACACACCTGCACTTTTGCCCTCTACAGTATTTCCACTTTTGCGTGATTCAAATGATTTATAAAACATAGAGGCCATGTAGTATTTGTTGAGCTGCTGATGAGGTAGAGGAAAGGACCCACATGCATTTCCTGTGTCTCTGAGGGCTTCTGAGGAGATCTGCTGCTTACTCAAGAGTGAAAGCATAAAATTAAAGTGTTTGTGCTGACAAAGGACAAATGAGATTTTTTTTTTAAGCAAACGGTGCAGGAATGTGTGGAGTTGCTCAAAGTGTCAGGAAAAGTGTAAACTGGTCGACACCTCTAATGAAACGTGCACATGAAATTAGAGCCCACATTTGCTTGCTGTGTTTTGGCTGTGAAAGTTGAGGCAAGAGAGAGAGAAAGTGAAGGGAGAGAGAGAGAGAGAGAGAGAGAGAGAGAGAGAGAGAGAGAGAGAGAGAGAGAGAGAGAGAGAGAGAGAGAGAGAGAGAGAGAGAAGGAGAGAAAGAAAGAGGGATGTCTCTCCTTCTCTCTCTTGTGTATATATATATATTTTGTACCCTTGAAGTGGGAGTAAATTAAATATTAATGAGTGAGCGTGAATAAGTGCTCTGTCAGCCAGTAGTGTCACTGATAGATGAGGGGAGGGCCGGGCTGGGGCTCAATGGCCAGCCAGGCTTCTCCACAGAGGGGTAGGTAGGTAGGTAGGTATTTTCATTCCTCCCTTTTGGTGATAATGTATTGGATACAGGGTGTGTAATGATCCTCGAGCGCTACTATAACCACTAACAGGCATTTCTGTCAAACACATCTCCATGCTCATTGATTTGTGCTGCCTTTAAAACGGGCCATTTCCTACACATGAAGCCCTGCCATTATTGGGTCTTGCTTAAATGATTCAAATAAGCAGCCTGGTCTCATAGACTAGAGGTAACATAGTAAATGCAAATCTGAGACGCTCAAATTAGTATGAAATGTTACGTTTGGTGTGGTGATATAAGACAGATGGTTACTTAAGGCAAAAACTTAAGTTAATTTAAATTATATTATATTAAGTAGTGTGGTTGGTTGGGGTGGATGAATGGCTGTATAATGCAAACATCTAGCAACCCATAGGTTGCAAGTTTGAATCTCATCACGGACAAATTTAGATTTTCGGTAATTAGCTACTACTTTTTAGCTACTTGGCACCTACTTAGCATGTTAGCTAACCCTTCAACCTAAGCCTAACCTTAACCCTTTTGGCTAACCCTAATGTTAGCCAGCTAGATAACATTAGACACCTAGCCACCAAGCTAGAATTCGTAACATAACATGTGTTTTGCAAATTCGTAACATATTGTACATTTTGCAAATTCGTAACATATAATATGAATTGTAATTCGTAGCGTATCATAGGAAATGGGTGATGGACATACACAAATTAATACATACCATACATCAATTGAACGAGATTTACGTACAGAATAATCCGAAATGCTCTGAGACCAGGTTGAAATAAGGCGGTCTGTTTTGCTCTCCCTCTCCTCCTTCGCTCCCTGCGTCAATATCATCCCCACTTATTTCATTACAGATTCAGCAGACTTGATAAAACAGCGGGGCTGCCCCATTCCACACCGCTTAACCAGCCAGCCCTCGTTCCGGCCCCAGACAAAGAAGTGGTCAAGCGAGGCAACAAATCACACCAAATGGAGAATTTGCTCTTTGTGCAGTCTAGTTATCCAAACTGATAGCAGCGTGAAGAATACTGAGTAGGTCTAATAAATGCTGAAGAGAGGATATCCTCTCCTAATTGGATAGAGGAACGGAAGCACACACATTCCCCCCTTTTTGAAGCTCAAAATGAGTTCTGTGAAATAGCCTATTAGGATACATACATTGGGAGTCTGCTTTGCTGTCACAGATAAACATGTTCTCTCAGGGCTAATTGCTCTAACCTGTTCCAGGCCAGATTCCAGGCTCCAGTGACAGGATGCTGTTAGCGCTGGGCCTTCAGATCTCCTGGACTCCCCAGTGTTGTGTTGTGGATGAGCTGTAATGCTGAAATGCACAGCACATTCGGCCATAGCTGACTGTACTACTTCATAGAGAATGGGGAGGTTGACGTAACTCCAAACTTGCAATACAAGTTCCAAATGAACAGTCAACAGAAATCCCTGGTTAGAGTCTTAAGACAGCTGTCACGTGGGCATTGATGGATTAACTAACACGACAGATAGTCAAGAAAATATGATAACATACACTACCAGTCAAAAGTTTGGACACACCTGCTCATTAAAGGAATTTTTCTTTATTTTTACTATTTTTTAAATGGTCAAATATTAGTGAAGACATCAAAACTACGAAATAACACATATGGAATCACGTAGTAACCAAAAAAGTGTTAAACAAATGAAAATATATCTTATATTTGAGATTCTTCAAATAGCCACCCTTTGCCTTGATGACAGCTTTGCACACTCTTGGCATTCTCTCAACCAGCTTCTCGAGGTAGTCACCTGGAATGCATTTCAATTAACAGGCGTGCCTTCTTAAAAGTTAATTTGTGGAATTTCTTTCCTTCTTAATGCGTTTGAGCCAATTAGTTGTGTTGTGACAAGGTAGAGGGGGTATACAGAAGATAGCCCTATTTGGTAAAAGACCAAGTCCATTTTATGGCAAGAACAGCTCAAATAAGCAAAGAGAAACGACAGTCCATCATTACCTTGAGACATGAAAGTCAGTCAATACGGAACATTTCGAGAACATTAAGTTTCTCCAAGTGCAGTCGCAAAAACCACAAGCGCTATGATGAAACTGGCTCTCATGAGGACTGCCACAGGAAAGGAAGACCCAGAGTTACCTCTACTGCAGAGGATAAGTTAATTAGAGTTACACAGAGGGGACTGTGTGAATCAGGCCTTCACGGTCGAATTGCTGCAAAGAAACCACTACTAAAGGACACCAATAAGAAGAAGAGACCTGTTTGGGTCAAGAAACACAAGCAATGGACATTAGACTGGTGGAAATGTGTCCTTTGGTCTGGAGTCCAAATTTGAGATGTTTGGTTCCAACCGCCTTGTCTTTGTGAGACGCGGTGTGGTGAACGGATGATCTCTGCATGTGTATTTCCCACCGTAAAGCATGGAGGAGGAGGTGTTATGTTGTGGGGGTGCTTTGCTGCTGACACTGTCTGTGATTTATTTGGAATTCAAGGCACACTTAACCAGCATGGCTACCACAGCATTCTGCAGCGATACGCCATCCCATCTGGTTTGGGCTTAGTGGGACTATCATTTGTTTTTCAACAGGACAATGACCCAACACACCTCCAGGCTGTGTAAGGGCTATTTAACCAAGAAGGAGAGTGATGGAATGCTGCATCAGATGACCTGGCCTCCACAATCCCCTAACCTCAACCCAATTGAGATGGTTTGGGATGAGTCGGATGGCAGAGTGAAGGAAAAGCAGCCAACAAGTGCTCAGCATATGTGGGAACTCCTTCAAGACTATTGGAAAAGTATTCCAGGTGAAGCTGGTTGAGAGAATGCCAAGAGTGTGCAAAGCTGTCATCAAGGCAAAGGGTGATTCCATATGTGTTATTTCATAGTTTTGATGTCTTCACTATTATTCTACAATGTAGAAAATTGTAAAAATAAAGAAAAACCCTTGAATGAGTAGGTGTGTCCAAACTTTTGACTGGTTCTGTATGTGTCATAATAATATCCCTACCCAACTAGCACATTTGGTTCCTTGGAAGTTGTGGGAACATACATTTTTGGTTTCCCATTGGCAGTGGTGGGAAAAGTACCCAATTGTCATACTTGAGTAAAAGTAAAGATACCTTAATAGAGCCCCACAGTGGAGGTGTTATAATAATCATAAAACCTAGCGGTCAAACATAGAAATGGTTCCAATTGTTTTTCTGCCATTCATTTTTCCCATAAAGGATTTTAGAAAAACTTAAAATAAGGGCTGTGTTTCGTGTAGGCTTACCCTGGCATGACGTTTTGATAACCATGTAAATCTCTCTCGGACAAGGTGTGATGAGTTTGATAGTAGGAGTCAGGCACAGGAGGATATATCACAGAATACAGAGTTTATTCCGTCGTACACAATTGCGATGGATAGTGACAACAGAAAACAGGCACAGGGGAAACCATCTACCCTGCAATACAAGGTACGGGTAGCTCCAACAATATGCAGGTACGGGTAGCTCCACCGAGCTACACTACTCTCACAATAAACAATCACCCACAAGGACAAGGGGGCAGAGGGAACACTTATACACGGACTAATGAGGGGATAAGAACCAGGTGTGTGTAATTGACAAGACAAGACAAATGGAATGATGATATATGGAGCGGCAGTGGCTAGTAAGCCGGTGATGACGAACGCCGAAGCCTGCCCGAACAAGGAGGGGAGGCAGCCTCGGCGGAAGTCGTGACACAAGATGACTTTTATCAATATATTCGGCTCTATTTACTCAGATTCGAAAATGCTAATTAACATCAAAGTAGACACCATGCAAGACTACAAATCTCTTCAAGCTTCTGCACGTCACCTCTAGCTGGCATCTTTGCTAACAGGTACATTGAAAGAAATGTTGCCAATTTTTTCATTACTACATTTAGCTAACATTAGATAGTTAATACAGAGATTCTTACATTTGCCTCGATTCGGCAATCTCGTTCAGATCATCATGGCATTTGAGATTCTTTATGATAGTCACATGAGCAGCTAATTAGCATTTCATTTGTTCGGGATAAATACAGGCAAATATATTGATAAAAGTCACCTTGTCCGAGAAAGATTTACACAGTTATCAAAACGTTATGCCAGGGTAAGCCTACACGAAATACAGACCTTATTTTAAGTTTTCTAAAATCCTCTATTGGAAAAATGAATGGTGTAAAAACGATTGGAACCATTTCCCTGTTTGACTGCTAGGTTTTAGGGGTATTATGACTCATACTGTGGTACTCTATAGAAAATGACTCAAGTAAATGTGAGTCACCCAGTAAAATACTACTTGAGTAAAAGTCTAAAAGTATTTGGTTTTAAATATACTTCATTACCAAAAGTAACTGTTATTGCTAAACTATACTTAAGTATCAAAAGTATAAGTCATTTCAAATTCCAGACAGCACAAATTCTTTATATATTTGTTATTGACAGATAGTCAGGGGCACACTCCAACAGTCAGACATAATTTATAAACAAAGCATTTGTGTTTAGTGAGTCCACCAGATCAGAGGCAGTAGGGATGAATAGGGATATTTTCTAGATAAGTGCATGAATTGGACCATTTTCCTGCTAAGCATTCAAAATGTTACGAGTACTTTTGGGTGTCAGGGAAAATGTATGATTAAAAAGTACATTATTTTCTTAAGGAATGTGGTGGAGTAAAAGTAAAAAATTTCAAAAATGTAAATAGTTAAGTAAAGTACAGATACCCCCCCCCCCCAAAAAAACGATTTAGGTAGTACTTTAAAGTATTTTTACTTAAGTACTTTACACAACTGCCCATTGGTCCTGGGAACGAAGCCATACGTTTCCTGACTGGTAAAACTGAAAGTTTTTTTTCTGAGAACGGATGTTAAACTTTTGCCTGAACTTGATAAAAATTTTAGGTTGCAGGGAGGTTCTGAGAACGGAAATTATAGGCTATTTGGAGGTTTTTGAATAACTTCCTTAAAACTGTCATGAAATCAGCTAGCAAAGGCTAGCTTTTTCAAACAGAAATGTGCATCCTGTAGCACTAACTCCAAAACGTTTTGGGACACTGTAAAGTCCATGGAGAATAAGAGCACCTCCTCCCAGCTGCCCACTGCACTG